GATGTCTAAACACTAATATTCTGACTGACCATTTAAATTTCATCTGCTTCTGCACATTAAATGGTGCAGCACCTCTATAGGTCACATCTAAGTTGCATGAAAGAACACAGCTTGGATCAGCAACAGCCTCAGCAGCTGTGACAGGGACTGTAGGAAGGTAGAGCAAAGATGGAAGAAATCTGGTCTTCAAATACGTCACAGCATTACAAAAGACTCATTAGTGGCTATTAGAGTGTGGTTATGTGTCTGGGGATGATCAGGTAAAGACCCAAATGCAGACAGTCAAGGCAGGAAGGTTGAGGCAAAAAGAAAAGTAAAAAACTTTAATCAAAACTTAACAGAGGTCAACAGGTGAAGACACAAGTTGATGAAGCAGACAAGGCACAGGTGATACTAGTTAGGAAAATCAAAAGAGGAGGGAAGCAGATGAAGGAAGGAAGTAAAACAACAAGAGACACACAAGGACTGGGACCTTTAAAAAAAAAAGTAAAACACAAAGGAAACTGAACTTAACCTTTTTCGCTCTCTCACTGTCTGACATTAAATCACACTAAACGTTTCCTGTTTTCGATCATCTTTCTCTGTTGTTCCAGGATATCTTTACATTTTTTATTTTTTTTGCAAAAGGCATCACACAAACACATTTAATTTAAGTTTAGTTTTACTTTTAAAATTAACAACCAAAAAAAATGTACAAAGGAGCTATGGTAATAATTGGAACATGAAAATAAAAGTGCCAGTACATCTATAAGGTTCAAATGTGTTCATTAATTATGCAGGTTTAAGTCTCTAACTGTGACAGTTCAATCTGTTACTTGACTTAACTATTGACATAGACTTTATTTATCTCAAATCCCACATCATTTATATGTTTAGATAAAGAAAAAGGAGTGAGCGTGTGGTTGGGCAAGAATTTATCATTATTTACAGCTGATAATGTCTCAAGATGGTTTACTACATACACATTTTCATCTTTTCATCACTTTAGGCACAGATTGACATTTGCCCTAGTTCATGCTGGACTGCCAGCTCCCACCTGGATTTCAATATGATTTAAATGTCAGATTACAACCCTGGGCCTGCAAAACTGTCGGTGAATAAAATGAAATGACATATTTAAAGTGCAATTTTGCTTCTTTTAGTCCAACAATTGTATAACCTTCATCACACAAAACATACAATCAGGTCAAGTCATGCCATCATTTTAAAACTAAATCAAAACAGAATTTCTAGACTGTGTAGCGTATTTTGTTGTTTATTGGCTCCAGTTTGTTTTGCAGCTTTACATTGAACTGTTCCCTCAAAATCTGATCGATCTCATCATCTGTTGCATCTCTTATTTCAAAGACATCAACACCTTCCTCAGGTTTGTAGGTGACCTCACTGTAGGTCCAGCCAATCAGAGCCTTGAATCCTGTGGGTGTTTGCAAAGAGCAGATGGACTTATTGGTGAACACTATGACCGGGTCAGTTTGGAGGATGTCGTTTGTCTCTAAGAAATGTTCAACCCCGCGAGGTTCCAAAGTGAAGCAGTAGATCTGATTTATCTTATTCCTGTTCACCAGCTGTGATTCAGCAAATTCTGGATTGACAACCAGTGGTTTTCTAGCAGTCTTTTCCAGCACCCAGACATCTCCTTTGTCTAGGAGACGAAAGACACCCGCTGCCTGTGGTTGGTCTTTCCCAGAGATGAGCTCCAGNTGTAACCAGATCCATTTTATCACAGGAACCATGGAAACCAAACTTCTGAACAACTCTTCCAAATTCATCCTGCCTGTAAAATGCAGATTAAAGCATTGCATGATACTATTATCTAATGAAACCACACACCAAATGTCTGGCCCACTATCAGATATAAAGCTGCACATGTCTTTGCAGAGTCATTTCAGCTGTTTCAAAGGGTGAACCTTTTCTAACACGGACAAAACATGTTTTTCTATTATTTTCTCATTCCCAACAATGACAATCTATCATATTGAGATCTAAAAATGTGTATTTGCATATCTCACTGTGCATAACTTTACATAAGTTTTTAATGCGACTATTTTGTAAAGAAAAGGCCCTCCACCCTGAAAGCTGCACGCTGAATGCATTTCTAGATATTACAAAGGAACAAAACCACGGCTGAACACTCAGTTTTGTCACTGTAAAGCTGCAAACATCAGGTAAAGAGATCGACCACGAATGCTTGTGTTAAACTCAGACTGTATGTGTCGCCGTTCAGCGCTTCACTTCTACAGTTTATTGCCCCTTAACTCACTGATGCTCCTTTAAAAGCCTGTAACAAAACAAAACAAAACAAATCCTCACCTTTGGACTGTGATGAAACCTGCTGCTGGTCGCTGTTGTTGCACTTCAGAGCTGAAAGTAAAACATGACGTAGTTCTCTTCACCTTGGTCGATTGCATTTGGCACAGTCCACCACTAGAGGCGCTATCAACCAGCCAGTTACTGAATGCTCTTATTTTGTTAAAATGTCACATTTCTCTTATTTTTCACCGAATGTTGACAAAATAAACTTGTATTATAACTAGGGGAACACCAACGATCATTACAGAGCGTTTGCATATATAAGTAATGCATTAAATAATTAAAGATGACTTGTAGCCAGTAAATCAGGCATTACATTGAGTACATATAAGAGTAACAAGATAAAAATGTATTATTCCCAGACGAAATTCTAGTGCCTGGTGTTGCTCAGGAAGAAAAAAAATGCCTACAAGAATAAATGCACTGCCTAATAGGATAGCAATGAGATAAGTATGATACATAAGTTTAAAATTAAATACAAATACACAAATTAAAATTAGAAAAGAAATGCAAGAAGTAATGATTGACCAATTTACACAACTTTGAATATTGTCAAGACTCCATAGTGGTATTTATTATGTAATATTGTCTGATTAATTTGCATATCGAGGATTAAAAGCCAACACAAAGTATATAAACAGCTGCCTTATGCAGCTATAGAATAGAACAATAGAATAGAAATGCTTCATTAATCCCCAAGGAGAAATTTGGTTGTTGCAGCACAAAGATAAAGTTACCACCACCACCATGAATACTGATAAATAAGCAAAAATAAACAACAGGAAAATAGAAAATGCAATATGTACAAAAAGTGTAATACAAATTAAGACTGAGCATTACAGTATTATTCATTGAGATTCTAATTATGTAAGTTTAAGACCCTTCAGAATGTGATATATATATTATAATGCCTAATTCATATTTTTCTGTCACAAAACGACAAAAAAATAATTACCCTATTTTTTTCTTTTTACCCTATTTAGCAACATGTATTTTCATTTGATGGAAACGACGAAAATACAGCACAAAACATCATGCCATATTTATCAAACTTTAATTCAAAAATGCAAGCTTTTATTCTGAAGGCAACAGCCATCGCCTATTTTACGATTACAGCTTCAGAATAAAAGCACGAACAGGTGCACCGGCGTCAAAATAATAGACGTTGTTACATCATAAAAAACAAAATTACGTGCTTATCTGACAGTATTCAACTTCTAATTTTACATCTTTGGTCAACCTTTAATTAAAACCAGTCTCCAGTTGCTCCTTATCTTATACTTTGAAGGTTACGTCACCGTGTTTCCGGTGTTATTCTGTGCAATTTACGTAACTTCAACGTGCAGCACCAAGCAAGGAAGTGCACGGTGCCTTCTGTCTCCAGGGCTGCAGCAGAATGACGACAGAGTGATATTGTGCCCACATTTCCCTGGTTTCCACCCGGCTGGTGTTGAGGTGGGTAGAGCCCGGAGCTCCGGCAGCTCACACAGCAGCTGGTGTGTTGTCTGGTGTCCTGACGAGTCGCACACTGAAGCCACTTTGTTGCACAGTTTACAGCATGACATGTGTTCATTAGGTGGACTGTGATACACTGGAATCCATGTTTGACTCACATAGAAGTAATATATGCTCTTAGTTGATTGTGTGAAGCTTAAATAGTTGAAGTAGACAACTAGAATTAAAGCTGCACACTGTAACCAAGGTGTACGAACCAAGCGCCATTTTTTAAAATACAAATTTCTATTTCGGTATTTTTTTTGTCGTTTTATTTTGTTATTTTTATTGCACATATGAGGCCGCTTTTGTGTTTACCTGCTTCTTGTTCCTAATTTTAATATTCTCCATAATCCTGTAAACTCACAGATTCGCCCTCTTGCAATGGAAAATAGACGTCCAGACACATGCTTAATAACCGGGGGATGTGGCTATTTCGGTTACCGGTAAGAACAATTTTTTACTATATAATACTCACAAATGTTTTTTTATTATTTTTATTTTCAGTAAACTCTCATTTCTGTTCTCTGGTGCAGCGACGCCTTGTTGCCACAAGGTGACGCCATTGTACCGCTCATCTCAGATTGGCTCTTTGACTTGCTTCAGTTGAAGTGCATGTAATTTTTGTCACGTTTTACTAAAACGGGGGTCTTGTATTGAGTTTCACGCAGACTCATGTTTCATATGTTGTGTTCCCCTGCAGCCTGGCCACCTCGCTGCATAAAAAGGGAGCCAGGATCGTCCTGTTTGACACCGTCCCTCCAAGCCAACAGGTGCCAGAAGACATCGTGTTCGTGCAGGGTGACATACGTGACTATGCACAGGTTGAGAAGGCCGTCGCCGGTGTAGACTGTGTGTTCCACATCGCCTCCTACGGCATGTCGGGTAGGGAGCAGCTGAACCGGCATCTGATAGAAGCGGTCAATGTTCAAGGCACACAGAATGTGCTGAAGGCTTGTGTTGAGCTCGGAGTGTCCAGGCTGGTTTACACCAGCACCTTCAACGTGGTGTTTGGAGGACAAGTCATAGAGAACGGGGATGAGAGCCTCCCTTATCTACCTCTGCACCTTCACCCCGACCACTACTCCAGAACCAAGTCTCTGGCTGAGATGGCAGTGCTTAAAGCCAACGGCACAGCGCTGGAGGACGGCTCTGGGGTGCTGAGGACCTGCGCCCTGCGTCCTGCAGGTATCTATGGACCTGGAGAACAGAGGCACCTGCCCCGGATAGTGGGCTACATAGAGAAGGGGATCTTCAGGTTTGTTTATGGTGAACCCAGCAGCCTGGTGGAGTTTGTCCATGTGGACAACCTGGTGTCTGCACACGAGCTGGCTGCAGAGGCTCTGACCCCAGAGAAGCAGCACTGCTCAGCTGGTCAGGCCTACTTCATCTCAGATGGCAGGCCGGTCAACAACTTTGAATTCTTCAGACCTCTGGTCGAGGGCCTGGGCTATACTTTCCCCAAATTGCGCCTTCCTATCTCTCTTATTTACTTTTTTGCCTTTGTCACAGAAATGATCCACCACGTCGTCGGCCCCTTCTATAACTTCCAGCCTCTGCTCACACGTACAGAAGTGTATAAAACCGGCGTGACGCATTACTTCAGCATGGCCAAAGCAAAGGCCGAGCTCGGTTACGAGCCCCAGGAGTACAACCTGGACGAGGCTGTGCAGTGGTTCAGAAGCAGAGGCCACGGCCGGAAATGTCACAGCTCCTTCATCGGTCGACTGCTGCTCGACGTCCTGTTTGCTTGTGCCTTCGTTGCTGTGGCGCTCTCTTTTCTTCCAGTCGTTGGAAGCTGATGAGCAGCTACAGCAGAAATATCATTCTGACATTTCCCAAAACATCCTACAGACTGTATCAAGACTCGTTCATTATTGGGTTGTTTACACTTTGTAATATGTCAGGATCCGTGTGCACATTTTGTATTAAAATGGTCATTACTGACTGGTGCTTTGGTCACAACATAACAGCTGTTTACAGACATAAACCATGGAAGCAAAACGTTTCAGTATTTCCATGTTTAATTGGGGGCAGTTCCTCCAGTATAAAACTACCTAAAGGTGTGGGTTTTAATCTGCAGTTATTTTCACTTTTAAAGGTCTTAAATGCTACCTCTGTTTTTCCACACTACGTTTAAATAACCTGCAATAATATATGAATCCAGTGTTTTGATGCTGTTTTTTTGGAATGTAAGAAATGAATAAAACTTGACAAGTCAATTGTGCATTGCTGGTTTTGATTTTGTGAAGTCTGGGCTCTGAATATACAAAATCGATAAAAAGTAGCTCAAAGAATTTTGGCTTTCTTTAAAAAAAAAAAAAAAAAAGTAAATCGCTTAAATTTTTGAATAATATCTTTTGATTAAGATACAGATTGAGTAGCCTGGTTTTAATGGAGACAGTAATAACTTACCAAATGCTAAGTTAACCTTGACCTCCATTTGTGTTCACAACAGCCCATTATTTTTCCCACTGCTTTTTATTTGGTTTCTGACTCACTGGCTGCACTTTGTATTCAGTTCAGTTCCACATATAAATAAACACATTTCCCTGCAGCCCATTAGCAGCTTATTTGTTTAATATTCCTAGAAGGAGGTTGTGATAACAAGACACAGTCCTCAAATGCATCATATCCACTTCACTTAGGAGACATCAGAGAACGCGTTTTTCTTTTGTATCACACTTTAAAAGGTGGATAAAGTGGAGTTTTAAATGTCTTTGCCCTCCATAATTCCAAGCCACTGCAGCTTATTCTTGGTGTAAAAGGAGTCGGACCAGGTGAGGCGTGCTTTGTGTGGTATTTTAGTCTGCCTGGGATGAATGCAGACGTCCCCTTCTCTCTAAACTATTCTCTTCAGAGCCGGCTGCCCCTTGCTGAGTTGGTCGCAATCATTGTTTCTCTGCAGCATTAACCACATTCCAGAGAGGCGCAGCGCATCCTGTCTTCCTCCCCGCATTCCTTTTACGCAAACGAGTCCCCTGCGTAAAACGCGATTTTATTTACATTTTCGTCCGCTTGGCGAGCTCACACCCGCATACAAAGGTTATCTGCGGCATATACGGTTATCCGGACTACTTTGATTCCACGCACAGAGGCAGGAAGAGAAATCTAGAGGAAAAACCAACAAGGGGAAATTCCTCCGCGCAGCGCGCCATTGACTGTAAAGACCTTTCAACTTAACAAAAACTGAAGTTGACAAACGTATCCCTGTCGGCTGAAACTGTGAGAAAGAGTTTGTTTTTTCGGCGGAGCGGGGAAAGCAGGAGCGGACGATGCGGCTCTCGGTGCAGCTTTCTGGCTCCGTTGGTCGTTTTGTGTAAATGAGCGACGGCTGTTCGGCGGCGTTTTGTTTTGATTTCCATGTGAAATGCAATTAGAGCTCCGCGGTGCTCGCTAGTTTGGCTCTCGGAGCGGAGCACACTCTCAACTTGTTTCTCGCCTCGGGAGCACAACATGGAGCACTATCAGGAAGATTTGGGACTCCGGGCCACTAAGCTGATGGAGGATCTTTCCCTGTACGATGCCTACAAAGACGGGATGTACAACGCCAGGAGAGACTTGGTGATTAACCCCGATTTAGACTTTTCGGCTCCGGCAGTCTCGGAGCACAAAACTAAGCCGATGAATGGTACCTCTGTGCTCCACCAGCAGCATCACACTGTGGAGAATTTCACGGCTGGGAATAAAGTGTACAACGCGGCTCCGGTGCGCCCCGTCAACTGCAACCGGACCGTTCCGGTGGATTTCTGCGCCCCTCAGAGAGACGCGGTGTACAGTGAGGAGGGCTGCTGCACCAAATCCGAGGTGGCGCTGCCCTGCTACACGGGCGCGTCCGAACGGCACCGGAGGTACTCTCTGGAGGTGCAGGGCCACAGGTACAGCACCGGCTCCACCTTCGACGGCGTGCCGCTCAACAAGCCGGTGGCTCTGCCCGGCAACAGGTGCAACAGCGTCTGCATCACCAGCAGCCACGACGGCAGATACAACGCCACCAGCCCCCGGTCCAGCCTGGCATCCTCTCTGTCCTCCCAGGAGCAGAGCAAGCATGCCAGCCCGAGGTCGAGCATCAGCAGCCCGCGCACCAGTCTGGTGGTGCCGGGGCAGGACAGGTACACGAGCCCCAGGTCTAGTTTGGTTCACTGTGAAGGCAACAGTGTCCTCAGCCCCAGATCCAGCTATGCAAGCACCGCCAGCGACACCAGTAAACACTCCAGCCCCCGGGCCAGCCTCAACAGCTGCGACTGCTGCAGCAAACCCAGCAGCAACCGCACCAGCGGCATCAGCATGGGCTACGACCAGAGGCACACCAGCCCCAGGTCGAGCACGGCCAGCCAGTACTCGTTCACCACCAGCCCCAGATCCAGCTACTCTGACTCCCGCTACGGGCCCGTGGTCAACCACGATCTGGAGGGGGCCATCCTGCACGCAGCGCCGCTGGCCAGCCCCCGGTCCAGCATCTGCAGCCAGGACGGGAGCGCAAGACCGGGGACCAGCGCCAACTGCGTGGTCAGTCCGCGCTCCAGCATCTCCAGTCACAGCTCCAGAAGTTCCCGCAGCTCCAGGGGATCTATGAGCACCTACCCGGACCTGCAGCTGCCGTCGCCCCGGTCGTCCATGCTGGGCAGCAGCTTACACGAGGACACGCTGCTGCAGGAGTTTGGAGACTCCAACGGCATCCAGACGCGCCTCCATCTCCAGGGGCTGTCTGCGATGCCCGAGCCCCAGCAGCAGGCAGCCCAGACGGCAGGGACGGCGGACATAACCGTGGGGTCACCGTCGTCGTTCAGTTACGGGATGTCCTCTAAAACGGCCTCCTCGGGCCAGAGGTTTAAGCTTCCTTACCAGGTGACCCCCAGCCGGGAGAGCGGGCCGAGCCAGGCGGAGAAAAGGCTGGAGGCGCTCACCTTGGAGCTGGAAAAGGAGTTAGAGATGCACATGAAAAAGGAATACTTTGGTAGGTTTGTTTTTTCAATACACATGGGAATCTTTAATACACTTTGCTGCTACAGATGATTGTGAACCTGCAGACATGAATCCAGTTTCTGTTATTTCCCCACTTTGAGCCAACATGACATCCCTTCATCAGAACTGTGTTATGTGCTGGATGAGGGGTTGACTGTCGCCCTTAGAACACCTGAGAGTTACAAAAAACACACCAGATTTCATTTAACAACTTTCCGTTTATTGCACACGTGGGCCACCAAAGGTCTTCCTGCAAGTTTCAGTCTCTGCGTTTGAGATTCTGACTTGCTGCTCTCATGAGCTGTGAGGGTCTGATTGATTTGGTCTCAGCAGTCGGTCAAACCAGCGTGTTGCCTGCAAAGTTTCCCCCTCGGGTGTCTGTATGAGGAACTGATGCTCCCATCCAGACTGCGCTGTCTTTAAACTCACAGGAATCTGGAGGAGCCCTGCAGCGTCCATTTCACCAATAAACCAGAGCAGAAGTGTTTAATCTTGTGCAGAGAGAGTTTAAAATCCAAAACAGCAGCATGAGGCTTCCCGTTTACTGTTTTATTTCCTTCCTCTGAATACAAAGCGTTCTCCATGGCAACAATTCAGCCATCATGTTTTGGTCAAACTATCATGAAATGTAACTTTCTTTCTGTTACAACACAGGCAACTGCATACTGACGCTGCATCCTAAAGCGATAGTCGACGGCGTTTTTCTGTGCAGGAAGAGCTTATTTATAGGTTTACCATCTCGTCAAGGTCTGTTTGCGACCTGTCCATGCTACATCACCACCAGCAGGTCCCTCTCTGGCAGATAAGAGTGGCTTTGCGGGGCAGTACTAATTTCTGTCTTGGCAGAGCTAACATTTGCAGAGCGCGGCACGTCGCTGAATGGAACCTTCTGTTCTGCCAGAGCAGACACCCTTCGGTCATTCAGAGCAGTGTGGTCTGGGTTTGTTGGAAATGCAGCACAGATTGTGGTCAAGTGCGCTGTGGAGGGATGTGAGCGTCCCAAACTGAAAATGTTTACCTCCACATCATCAGAGAGGCATTATTGGAATGAAAACACTAACTTTCCTTGCTATTTATGGTGTTTTCTTTAAGCCTTATTTTAAGATTTGAACATCTTGCTGTGACACTTTTTTGGTTCACCAGCCACAGAAAGCCTTGCTGAGGAAGTTGCTGTCTACCTTTTGAATTAGCAGCCAGACAAATGGTTGCAGCCACAGAACAGTGGCTTGTTTTATAGCCAGTGCACTTGCTCAGAGTGAGGCTGAGACAGCTGTTGATTTGTTCCAGAGAAGCAGGTGAAAGAAGAAGGATGGGAAGGCAAGAAGAGGGCGAGGAAGGGAGAGCGGGAGAGATAGTGCAGAAAGAAGCAGGAGGGTGGAAATAGATAGAGATGGAGAGAGAAAGGAAAGGGAGGGAGAGAGAAGAATGCAGTCAGACGCTCCTCACACCGAGCCCAATAGAGACAGCTCTGTTTCCGTAGCGACAGTGGAGAAATTGATCGCTGGGGCTTTTTTTTTTTAGGGGGGGGGGGCCCAGAAATGCCTGCCAGTGTCCCACACTGGCCGCTCTGCGCTGCCGGCCGGCCCTTGTGTGGCCTCTGTTTGTTGTGGTGGCAAAGGAGCTGTGAATCAACAGCTGGCCCGATACAGGCTCGCAATTGAAGCAGCAGAGTGAGGCCCACCCCACCCCTTCGCCTCCCCTCCCCTCCTCCACCACCACCACCACCCCGCCCTGACTCCCCCGCGAAGCCCTTCATTAACCAGCCAGTGGGGAGTCGGGCAACACCAGACACTTGGCACACGATCTTGGCTGGCGGGCCAGACATAGTTGGTGGGGGTCAAGTCTGATCACCTGCCCAGAATTATAATGGCAGTAGTCATGCACATGCCTGACACACACATGCTGACTTGTGGACAACAGCGCACTGTGTGTACGCTGTACGACACTCTCCTTTTGACTCTGTGTATGTGCTGCAGGCACACTGCAGCTGACATGCATAGTTGAAGTGTGCGTTCTTTAAATCCCGCTCGAAGTTTCAGGCCTCCGTTGTCCCCTGATGTGTGAAATACTCTTCAATCTGTCTAACAAGTGAAGACCACTGTCCAGACATTTCCAACTTATTGTAGATTTTTGAAGCGTTAAGCTGGTAATTACTCAATTAAATCAAACCAAAGTACTGTAATTATGGCCAGCACAAGCTAGGACATCCATAATGCATCAGGGCAGTCATGCTTAAAGTTCCCATATTGTACTACTTTTTAGCAAATTTATGCGAGTCTCACATCTCTCCAGAATGTGTAGTTCAAGTGCTCTAGATACTGCAGTTCTGGTTAATTCTGTCTTTTTTACTCCTGCTTTTAGCCCTGTTCTAAAAGGACTGTTTCAGTGACTGTGGCTGCTGAACAACTTTGCTCTCCGTGCATCTGCTACCTCTGCAAAAATGAATCGATTACTAGCTTAATATTAAATGAGTTGCCAGCTATTTTGATAACAGATTAATCAGTTTGAATTGTTTTTAAGAAAAGAAAGTTCAAATCCTTTAATTCCTTCGATTGGATTGTGGACAGTTGAGTATGTCATCTCAGACTGCTGGAAACACAGATTGACACTTTCTGCTATTTTCTGACGTTTTATAACCTAATTGATTAATTGGGAATATAATCAACGGAGTAATCAATACTGGAAGTAATCGTTAGTTGCAGTCTCAGTGTCTACAGCCAATCAGAGGGATGCTCTACTGTGATAGTAGGAGTGGGATCAGATAACCACTAGCATGTTGTATAACTTCCTCTTGCGATACAGTATCGATACACTGGCACCACATATCGCTGTTTGTCTTAAAACACACCGGCACCCTAAACAGACCCCTACGACCAGGTCGACTTATCACACTCACTACTTTACAACTACTTGTGACGGCACTTATTAATTGAGAGAAGTGAGCAGATGTAAAGTAAGTTGAAAAAAAAGAAACTGACAGGGTGAGTGAATAAGTACTTCATTCATCTTTGTTGCCTTTGTTTGTTGTAGGTATTTAGAGGTTTTTTTCATCTGCAGTTGCTCAGATGAATCATAGGTAAAAAACTGAGTATCTCAGAGTTGCTGTCTTGTGATGCTGTTCGTGTGCAACGTGTTGTGAGTTACGCTGCGATTCCCACCTCTATGTGACACTCTGTGCAGCGAGTGGCAGAGGAGCTTACTAAGACATGAATGAGTGTGTGAGACGAAGAGTTTCTGTAATGACAGATCATGTTAAATATGGCCATTGTCTGTACCTTATGTTTTGATGTTACAGTTCTGCTGCAGCTTGGAAATGACTCCTAAGCGACTGCCGGTTAACATGTAGTCTTAGCGGGTTGAGTTTCAGTCATTGTTTCATCCTCATGCTGTTGCCTGACAACATAAAGCGGAAAATAGCTAAATAACATCATCTCTGCTGTTTTAAATACAGTCTAAGTGAGCACAGAGAGCAGGAGAGAAGCAGATAAACACTTCAGGTTCCACTGAAGCTCAGCAAGAAAACACAGTAACCCTCCCAGTCCTTGTTTATTGGTTTGGAATTGCTCTTAAACTCACACCTTGTGCTTGTCTCGTGGCGGAGACGCGTTAGAGTTTGCAGATAAGGCTCTAGTGAAGAAATGCACCTGGCCTGGACTCTGAGGCTGCTGCTGAAATTGGAACGGCTAACCTTGGAAAAAGCAGGCACTGAGGGGCAGGATTATAAAAAATGTAAGGCAATCGATGCAGAAACCAGATAATACTCTGAGTGTCTTTTAAAGCTGGGAGGCTGTTTAGTTGTTGGTGCTGGAGGAATGTTAAGCAAGCTCCTATTGGAACAGCTTTTATTTAGAGGTTAGAAACAAAATGCATCTTAACAATATGGGACCTTTAAACTCTAAACGTGCCACTGTGATGCTAAGTTAATCGCTATTTTTATTCCCAGTCTACACCAGGGTGCATGTGTTTGGCTACAATATACTGTGCATCCTCTGTCCTTCACTATTATTTTTTCAGAGTAGGTGTGAAATAGGATTTACTGTTGTTTGTGCTGCAAGAATTATGAACCTGCGTCCTGTGCAGCAGCTGAATCACACCTATAAGACGTGCAGAGATTTTTAAAGCATTTGGCAGCAATACAAGAGGCTCCACAAATTAAGAATTTGTCTCCACTCGTGCTGCAAATTTTGCCCTCCATCGATTTGACTGAGATTTTTTTATTTTTTTTCATGTAAGCCTCTGGATTGATATTGTGCTTCAAGAAGTCAAAGTGCGCACCGAGTGGTCGTTAAAGTTTCATGAATCAGACAGCGCAGGCCTTCTTACGACTCACAGCACGTTCGCCGTTGTTTTCAGCGATGATGGAGACATGAAGTCAGGTGTGATGGTAAAACACCCTCAAATACACTCTTATATTTTGACGATAAGTCATGATTACATACCGTGTCACTCTTAGATTAGAATAATTGGAAAGATTTCCTTCTCCTTGATCTTCCACATTAGATTTTCCTGATTTTTTATTTTTTTTCCTCCCCCTATTAAATAAAATTACAAGCTCTCACTGAGCCCTCAGCAGGACTGCCATCTAAAACCTGCACATTACAGCTTGATCTCAGAAACAGAGTTAAATGTCCAGGAGGTGGATGAATACATGTACATCAGATGATTATTTTTAACCCCGCTTGCATCCTGTCCTTGCCAAACGGTCATGTTACGAAACGGGCACGAGAGATTCAGCATCCTGTTTTAAATGAGCGCCTCACAGTCTTCCCTGCCGTCCTGTAAAATAATAACCACATCCTCCTCACTCATGAGCCCCTGTAGGATTCTCTTAAGCATGTGTGGAAGTCCTGGCAAATCACACAGGCTGACATGTGAAATCCCAAGAATCTTTGGGTTCGTAAGTAACTGCAGTATAGCGGAAACCAGAAGGGAATAAAGTAATGAAGGTAAATCAGCACTGCTGTATGAATAAATCATGGGTTTTCAGTTTTT